ATATATATATATATATATATATATATATATATATATATATATATATATATATATATATATATATGGAGCCATTTTTAAGGGAAAAGTAATTAAACTAACACATGGTTATCATTATTAACATTGTCATTGCAGAATTTGCCTACGATGACAGCAGCACAGGGGCCACAAACCTCGGTTGACTTCTGCCATGAAACACACTCAACTGCCCTCTTGCAGGGCTTGCAGGAACTGCGGTCTGAAAACCTGCTGGTAGATGTCATCCTTTGTGTCTCCGGAAAAGAGATCCCCTGCCACAGAAATGTACTCGCTGCCTGCAGTGGCTACTTCCGCGCAATGTTCTGCAACGGGAATCTTGAGAGCAAGGAGCATAAAGTCGCCATTCATCAAGCGAGTGCCAGTGTCTTGCAGCTTCTTGTTGACTACGCCTACACGTCAAGGGTGACCATCACAGTAGACAACGCTGTAGAAATGATGGAAGCTGCCAGCTTCTTCCAGGTTCCACCAGTCAGTGATGCATGCACAAAGTTCCTATCAGACACAATAAGTGCCAAAAACTGTCTTGGGATGGTCAAGGTAGGTGGTATGCTGAACCCCACCCTGGAGGCCAAGGCATTGTCCTATGCCTTGAAAGAGTTTGGAGCTGTCAACAATACACCAGAATTCCTTGATTTGACAAAAGACCAGCTCATCAAACTTGTCTCATCAGATGACCTGAACGCTCCTGAAGAAACTGCGTACACGGCAGTTATGAAATGGATCAACCATGACACCAGGAACAGGAAGAAGGAGATGAAAAAGCTGATGGAACTGATCCGGTTCCCCTTCATGGACAAGATTTACTTCATAGAAAAGGTGGAAACCGACAAAATATTGCGCAAGACCTGCCCGAATCTCCTGTCAGAAACTTTGAAGTACCACGCATTCCCAGGGGAGGTCCAGTCACCACGCACCCGTCCCCGCCGTGCCAGTGGTCTGAGGGAGGCGGTAGTGATCGTTGGGGGGATAGAGAAAGAAGGAAGTAAAGAAAACTCTTCAGTTGACAACAATTCCATCGTGATGACCCACTCCTCAGCACCATCAAGCACAAGTTGGGTTCCCATGACGGCAATGAAGAAAGTGAACGACCATGGATTCGCTGTGGCCGTTTTGGGCACAAGTGACATCATGGTGTCTGTTGGTGGGTTTGATTGCAAGGATGTGTGGCTATATCAGGCAAGACTTGACTCCTGGTCAAAACTGGCTTCGATGAACACAGCCAGGGACTATCACAAGCTAGCAGTGGTGCACGGTAAAGTGTACGCAATCGGTGGCAGAATCTACCACTCGACGCTACATGTAACTCCAGCCGATGATGTGGAAGTCTATGACCGAAGCCTGAACAAGTGGACCGAAGGTGTTCCACTCCCAGAGCCAAGGTACCTGCATGCAGTTGCCGTGCTAAATAGTAGCATATACGTGATGGGTGGGCGTGATGCTGAGGACAATGCAACATTCACAATGTACCGCTTCAGTCCAGGAGATTCTCAGTGGCATTCAGAAGCAGCAATGGATGTGAGGGCTGATGACATCACTACTACAGTTCTCAATGGCAGAATCTACGTCGCTGGGCTTCCCTCAAAAGTGCTCAGATATACACCTAATGGTTATGGCTACAGTTGGAATGTGTTAGTCAACACTGGTACTGGATCCAGATGCGGTATGACTGTCTTTGGTGGGGAGATTTACATCTATGGCGGCGCTAACGATAACGATGAAGGAACAACGAAGGTTTTGTGGCTGAATCGAAAACAGAGGTCGCTCAAGCAAGTGGGAACCTTGCCCAGGGTTCTGTTCGGCCATGGTTGTGTCACTATACTGAAGGGATGAGGGTGAACTTGTCAAGCAGCTAGGACCAATTGTCAATGGATGGTGTTTGTGCTTAAGATTATTAGATGATGTTTAATGTAGAATGTCATGTTGTAAGTCAATAAGTGAGGCTTATGAAGTAATATGTATGAGGATGAAACAGACAATCACATATCCTTTTTGGCAACATGTTTAAACATTTAATGTAGCAGCATGTTCTAAGTGTTTTCATCACAAATCAGTTTGATTACAGTACAAGAAATTTGAAATCTTGAATCAAGGAAGAACATTATTATAGGCTGTGCAATTAAGATAAACTTGAAAAGGGACATGATTAGGTCTTTGTTAACCCATGTGATCCACCCACCCCTTTTTAGTTTCCGATGAATTATCGTCTCCTCCATACAGGGCTATAGTTACTAGCGAGTATAATTATTTCATTAACATTTGTTTGTTAAGGAAAGTACATTGTCACCTATTGTTACCTGTTCACCTGTATTAAACAAAGAGTACCCCCATTATATCTATACAGTATCTGTGGATGGTGGTATCTAAGTATTTTACGATGTAACATGTTTTTATTTTGCTCTTTGTAATTACCTACTAGTCGTAATGATTATTAAAGTTCTGTTGTTGAAATTTTTGCGCAATGTCTTTACTGAAAGAGTAAGGCCATGTTGATTTGTGATCACTTTGATTTTTAACAAAGTGACACTTGCTGCATGTTGAAACAAAAGGTAAATTTTGAAACAGGTGTCAAACGAGGGCATAGGACACCATAATAAACAGCACGTCTTGTACTTATAACATGGTAAACCGCTACTCAAGCAATGGTTTAGGCTTATTTTTGACGTGTTTAAGGAGTTTTTATCGGGCTTTCGTGCCTAAAAACACGTCAACAGAGAGCCCAAGCATCTGCTTGGAGAGTAGAAAATACATCGTAAAAGGGCCGCATCTCTACATGTGTGTTTCTGTGTACCTGTCCTGTCTTGTTTTTTTAACCTATTGTAAAATCAATTACACAATTCAGGGATGCATTAGCATTCCCTGCTTTTGTATGATTTTGTTGGATTGAATAAATAAATAAAAAAAATACATAGGGTCAAGTCACTATTATAAAACACAATGAATCAATTTCATTCGTGACACACACATAGGATTTTAGGTTACTTCTGATAAAATGTGTATTTTTGGCGACGTCTCAGGAGGAGCCTAATGGTACAGTATTGTGTGCAGTTTGCAAGAATTCTAGGATTAATGGTACAGGCATTTTGTCCACAGGAATGGAATGTCCACAGGCATGTCTCTGACCCACATCTATGCCCACATTCCTGAAAACCCTTGGGAAGACCTCTCTGCCCCGGATGGCCATACTTTCTGTGACGCCGGGGCCCATTCACTAAACACTCAGGGGAGGAGTGTACTGTATCTGTCAAGTCTTCCTCAAAATCATGAAATGATGGCAGTACCATGCAAACAATAACCCTAACAGCAACCACCGTCGCCATGGCAATGTATGTTTTCATTGCCAGTCTTGTTGTCCTTTTGGACAAAATTGATATTCCGCCTATGATACTATGTACAGATGTGTTTACGGTGTATTTTTCTACCCTCCAAGCAGATGCTTGGGTTCACTGTTGACGTGTTTTTGGGCACGAAAGCCCGATAAAAACACCTTTAAAGACGTCAAAAAAAAGCCTAAATCTTTGCGTAGCGGTTTGCCTTGTTAAGAGTACAAGACAAACTGTTTATTATGGTGTCCTAGTATGTGGTTCCACGTTTGACTCGTTTCAAACTTCACCTTTTGTTTCAGCGGCAATTATCACTCTGTTTAAAGTCAAAGCAATCACAAATCAGCATGGCCTTACTCTTTCAGTAAAGACATTGCACAAAAGTTTCAACTGCAGTTGAGTTTTCATCAACAGAACTTTAATAATCAATATTAGTAGGTAATTACAAAGAGCAAAAAAAAACATGTTACATTGTAAAATAGGGGATACCACTATCCACAGATACTGTATAGATATAATGGGGGTACTCTTTGTTTAATACATGTGTTAGAAAGGTGAACAAGTAACAATAGGTGACAATGTACTTTCCTTAATAAACAAATGTTAATGAAATAATTCTACTCGCTAGTAACTATAGCCTTTTAGATGGTTAAAGACATACTTGTATGGAGGAAACGATAATTTATCGGGAACTAAAAAGGGGTGGGTGGATCACATGGGTTAACAAAGTCCTAATCATGTCCCTTTTCAAGTTTCAGCCTATAATAATGTTCTTCCTTGATTCAAGATTTCAAATTTCATGTACTGTAATCAAACTGATTTGTGATGAAAACACTTTGAACATGCTGCTACATTAAATGTTCAAACACGCTGTCAAAAAGGATCTGCGATTGTGCATCCCATAATGGCATCCTCAAACATATTAATTCATAGTGCTCACTTGCTGAGTTACAATATGACATTCTACATCAAAAACCATCTAATACTCTTAAGAAGAAACACTGTCCAAAGACACAACATTGGCCCTGCCTGTCAAGTTCACCCTCAGCCCTTCAGTATAGTGACACAACCATGGCCGTACAGAGCCCTGGGCATGGCCCCCACTTGCTTAAGTGACTTGCTTTCTCGATCAAGCCACAAAACCTCTGTTGTTCCATCTATGTCATTGTTAGTGCCTCCATAGATGTAAATCTCCCCACCAAAGACAGTCATACCAAGTCTTCGGAGTACAGTACCAGTGTTCACAACAACAGTCCACAACTCCTCCTGAGGCCTGTAACAGAGAACTCTTGAGGGAAGCCCAGCGACATAGATGCTACCATTGAGAACTGTAGCCATGATCAAATCAGCACTCTCAGGCATGTCCTTTGCTGGATGCCACTGGGTGTCTCCTGGGCTGAAGCGATATGAAGTAGATGTTACTTTGTAGTCAGCATCACATCCACCCATCACATATATGCTACCATCTAATGCCGCAACTGCATTCAGGTACCTTGGCTGTGGGAGTGGAACACCTTCAGTCCACTTGTTCAAGCTTTGGTCATAGACTTCCACAGTTGGTGTTACATCATAAACATGTGACGTTGGGTGGTAGATTCTGCCACCAATTGCGTACACTTTACCGTGCACCACTGCTAGCTTGTGATAGTCCCTCGCAGTGTTCATCGGAGCCAGTTTTGACCAGGAGTCAAGTTTTGCCTGATACAGCCACACATCCTTGCTCTGACTTCCACCAACAGACACCATGATGTCACTTGTGCCCAAAACAGCCACAGCGAATCCATGGTCCTTCTCCTTCCTCATTGTCGTCATAGTAACCCAACTTGTGCTTGATGGTGCAGAGGAGTGGGTCAGCATTATGGAGTCGCTGATATTCCAAGGGTCCTCTCCTCTTCCATATTTCTCTGTCCCCCCAACGATCACTACCGCCTCCCTCAGACCACTGGCACGGCGGGGACGGGTGCGAGGTGACTGGACCTCCCCTGGGAACGATTGATACTTCAAAGCTTCTGACACAAGATCAGGGCAGCACTTGCGCAAGTTATTGTCAGTTTCCACCTTTTCGATGAAGTACATCTTGTCCATGAAGGGGAACCGGATTAGTTCCATCAGCTTTTTCATCTCCTTCTTCCTGTTCCTGGTGTCATGATTGATCCATTTCATCACAGCTGTGTACACAGTTTCTTCAGGAGCATTCAGGTCATCTGATGAAACAAGTTTGATGAGCTGGTCTTTTGTCAAATCAAGAAACTCTGGTGTATTGTTGACTGCTGTAAACTCTTTCATGGCACAGGACAATGCCTTGGCCTCCAGGGTGGGGTTCAGCATACCACCTACCTTGACCATCTCAAGACAGTTGTTGACACTAAGATTGTCTGATAGGAACTTTGTGCATGCATCGCTGACTGGTGGAATCTGGAAGAAGCTGGCAGCTTCCATCAGGTCTACAGCGTTGTCTTCTTTGATGGTCACCCTTGATGTGTAGGCATAGTCAACAAGAAGCTGCAAGGCACTGGCACTTGCTTGGTGAATGGCGACTTTATGCTCCCTGCTCTCCCGATGTCCGTTGCAGAACATTGCACGAAAATATCCACTGCAAGCAGCGAGTACATTTCTGTGGCACGGTATCTCTTTTCCGGAGACACAAAGGACGACATCTACCAGCAGGTTTTCAGATCGCAGTTCCTGCAAGCCCTGCAAGAGGGCGGTTGAGTGTGTCTCGTGGAAGAGGTCAATCAAGGTTTCTGGTCCCTGTGCTGCTGCCATCATAACTAAAATCTGTAATACAACACAAGCTCTTGATTAGTTGTACAGCCATTCTTTTTCACACCAAATGCGTTACTTAGTTATGCAGATCAATTTGGGTACATAGAATGTAATCTGAAATGGCAGACCCCACCCCTTACGAAAATCAGAAAGACAAATCAAGTCAATCAAGAGAAAGACATTGCTTCTTTTGCACAGCCATAAAGTAATTCAAGGAGGTTAGAACATCTATTAAACCTTCTTGATATAATGGAACAACACATAACTAAGCACCATTCTTTAGTGTAACTAGTACAACATTTAACATCTTTGAGATAGAAACATTAAAAGACAAGATAATCATGACAATGACAACGCAAAGTCTGACATTATTTTGCACAACAATAAAGATGAAACAATGTAGAAAACACTGAAAAGCTGGGCAATGTTTGACACTATTACTATCAGAAACAAAAGCAATAAGTTTGCATCCTAACTCTGAAGGACGAGGTACAAAATATGCAAGTTTAATACTACATGTTAAATTTACTATATATTACTTATATGTATCAGAAAGAACTTTTACTGTTTGGAAAGTGGTCTCGGAAGATGCCAAATATTAAGGTCAATCGAAGGTGCCACTTTTCTTCTAGTTCCACGATTGTTCTGCTGTTATGTTGTTGTCAGTCTGATGGTAACTTCCGTAAAATGGTAACTAGAACCAGATGGTCCTCGGCACATGGGTTGACAGAAAACCGCTATCTGAATTTCTGACCTCTCACGTCTATTTCTGCTCAGTTTAGAAGATAGGCTACAGGAATTTTACTGTTAGCAACAGCAGTCTAGTCTTACCTTGCACTGTAGCAGTTCTTGCGTATGATTTTCGGGAATAAAGCCAGCTCGGGACCACGCCGGCACGGGACCTGGTCTTCGGACAGATGAGATCTGAGAGGGAGTCTGTTTCTGAAAAGGCGGGAAACTTCCCGGAAGGTCAAAGGTTAGGATTGGAATGAAAGAAATCTTGGAATGGCTTTGGAATGGGGGTAACAGTTTATTCAGTTATACTAGTATTTTATTCTTACTCTATTTTGTGATAGTAAAAGGCAAACGAAGATAGTACCTATTCATCTGTAGCAATTATGTTGTACTGCAACAGCGTCAGAAATTCTGAAATGGAAGATACAGGTACGAACACGCTTCCCTTCTTGAAATGAAACATGCCAAATTTAAATATGGATTGTACCAAGTAACAAAAGTGGTGGGGGTGGCCAAATCAAGAGAGTAAACAAGAATACATTGTACACGTACTAGTATCAAGGAGGTAAAAAATCACTTAACCTCCATGCTGTTGCCAATGACATTATCCTTGCTATAATGTATATAGAGTCCTATATTTTGTCCTTGGTAACATTACAAATGTTTATAAAGCCAAAGGTGGACCTAAAACTTTGACCAACACTAACAATACACACAAATTTAGGAGTAAAACATTTGTTATTAGGTGACATCATGCCTCCCATCCAGAGGACTCAATTCTTTGTCAATATTTCTACCTTTGTAATAGGGGATACTATTTCAATAACAATTTTTTGAAAAAGGTTCCTAAGGACTTGATTCTTGGTCAATTTTCTTCCCTTTTCACAGGGAATACTATTTCAATAACAACTAGAGTTCCCCGATCTCATACCTTCGCCAAATGATGTTAATCTTTATGACTGACAAAGTTTAGATTAGATTATTCCCCCCTGATTTAAGAAATAGGAACCTAATTTTCATGAATTATATCATTTTATCATAATCTCAACCAAAAGACAGTCTTATATTAACAAAGAATGCATTCTAGCATTTCCTAATAAATTATGCAAATGAGGTCCTGATTTGAATAAATTATGTTTAATGATGTTCACCTCAATTTAACTTTCAAATACCACAAGTATGAAATTCCAGGCAGTTATCATTACATCATTATAAAATTTTCTCATTAATTATGCAAATTAAGTCATTATTAACATAATCAACACCTTTCTGTGTTTCTCTCGTTGTCAATTACCAATGTCACAAGCTTCAATTGTCCTATCATGGAATGCAGCTGATTTATAGAATTTCCCCATAAATTATGCAAATTACATCCATATTTGCATAATTGACACATAATTATATTAAGCATCACGTACGCTACCTACATACCAAAAATCACGACGATCCGTCAACCGGTTCTTGAGTTATCCCCTTTTGAATATTTTCAAGAATTTATCCCTGCAGTTCCAGAGCAAGCCGCTAGGGGGCCTAAACTCACGTCACTTCTTTCCCACCACAAGAGCTACCTACCATCTAAATTTCATCACCATAGCATGTCTAGATCATGAGATATCAAAACCGGAAGTTCAGCTGCAGTACCATAACAAGCCGCTAGGGGGTCCAAAATCTAATCATTTTGAGGTCTCATCAAGACCTACTCACCTACCAAGTATCAAGACAATCCATCAAGGCCTTCTCAAGTTATCGTGTTTACAGACAGACAGACAGACACACACACACACACACACATACACGAACGCCCCTGAAAACATAACCTTCTTGGCGAAGGTAATGAAAGTAAATAAAGTAAATATTTGATCCTGATCAAACATTCAAAAGACGTTTTATTCAAATGTTATTCATTTCTTTGGAGATCACAGCATTACTGAGAAAAAGGTTGAGATACAGACTTCTGAGGAAACGGAAAATAAACATTCTTAATATGATAATGAACAGCAGAAAGTACTAGTAAATACTTTAAATGGACAACGCACATTAAGGCCACACCAATTTAATTTGTTGGTTCTCGGATTTTGTCAGAAAAAATATGAAGCGACAGGGCGAAAAAAAAAAACAGGTCTAGGCATCCTATTGCTACAAAATGAGCCATGAAGTCAACACAAAAGGCTGGGTCAAAATTTAAACATTAAATTTTGAACTTTTAATCAAACCACTGCAATGATAGATGTGAAAACTGTAACAACTAGGAAGAAAAGGACTTTCCTCAACTGTTGGGGGGCAAAACATGAGCATTTTTCAGTTGATTCAGGACCAGAATCAATTTTTTTTTTTGCAAATCAGAAAAAAACGAAGAGGCGAATCTGAGAACCAACAAATTAAACTGGTGTGGCCTAAAGAATGTCTTACTAACTGTACACCCCTCTTCGGGATCCATTTTGTACAACAGTAGGAAAGAAAAAGCAGACTGTTACTTTTCTACTACAGATTCAGTAATTCTGAATGTGAAAAGATCTTGGTCCTTTCATTGCATAATGACTACAGATATCAACTTTTTACATTTCTCATAACTAGAAGTAAAAAAACTAAAAGCATACTTTAAACTGTTACACATGTACACAACAATAGGGAAAAACAAAACAGATGATTAGGATGAAGACATTACTTCTAAAACATTTTATCAGCCACAATCTGACAAAATAAGAGATACAACTGAAGCTAACATTTTCTGTTACAACCAAAATATCATTATACATCACCATCTTTCTTGATTATCAATTCTTAAGTTACAACTGCAATTTGATTAAGAACAATAACTTGTGTTCCTTTCAGTATCTCTATATGATCTCCTTCCCACACAGAGTGAATCTGTCTACTTCCCTGATATCAGTTTTACTCCCTGTATTTCAGCTCTGCTGACAGTTTTGTCTCTTTCCTTCTCGAGATCACTATTCTTGGCATAGTATGACATCTTCTTTCTTGATTCAAGCAATCGTAATCTGATTTGTTACATGTTTGAACATGTTGTAATGTAGAATCCTCATAGTATGAGTCATACATATTTCTTAAAACATTGCTTACCCTTACTTGCTGACTTAACATTTGACATTCTACATAAAACAGCTTCTAGTAGTTTTAACACTGAGACATTGTCCATTGACAATATCGGTCCATCTGCTTGTTAAGTTGACCCTCAGCCTTTCAGTATAGTGACACAACCATGGCCGAACAGACCCCTGGGCAAGGTTCCCACCTGCGTGAGAGACCTGTCTTTTGGATTGAGCCGCAAAACCTTTGATGTACCTTTCTTGTTATCATCAGTGTCTCGCCCTCCATAGATGTAAATCTCCCCACCAAAGACAGTCATACCACATCTGGGCCCAGTGCCAGAGTCGATTAACACAGTCCAACTATTAGGCTTATATCTGAGCACTTTTGAGGGAAGCCCAGCTACATAGATGCAGCCATTGAGAACTGTTGCAGTGATGTCATCAGCTCTCACAGGCATTTTCCTTTCTGAATGCCACTGGGAGTCTCCTGGACTGAAGCGGTACATTGTGCATGTTGGACTCTCCTCAGCATCACGTCCACCCATCACGTATATGCTCCCATCTAGCACCGCAACTGCATGCTGGAACCTTGGCTCAGGGAGTGGAACACCTTTAGTCCACTTGTTCAGGCTTCGGTCATAGACTTCCACATCTGGAGTTACACCT